CTACAAGTCTTGTTGTAATACGGAACAACGCGACCCAATAAATAGCGTTGTAGAAGCGTTTCGGCCACAAGTCTTCTTGTAATATGGGCCAACGCGACCCAATGAATAGCGTTGTAGAAGCATTTCGGCTACAAGTCTTGTTGTAATACGGAACCCCGAAACGCTTCTACAACGCTATTCATTGGGTCGCGTTGGTGCGCGTTGGCCAATATTACAACAAGACTTGTGGAGTGAATAGCGTTGTAGAAGCGTTTCGGCCACAAGTCTTGTTGTAATATGGGCCAACGCGACCCAATGAATAGCGTTGTAGAAACGTTTCGGCCACAAGTCTTGTTGTAATATGGGCCAACGCGACCCAATGAATAGCGTACGGAACTACAAAATCCATGTTTCGCACCCTATTTTCGCGCTATACACTTTAGGGTCGTGGATATGTTATAAGAGTGACAATAAAATTCAAATCAATCAGTCGGACAAGAGTAGTTCAAGAGTTAGCGATAGGTAGTGTTGACTAGCTGCCTTTTCTCTAGTCTATCGCTTCAAAATCAGGGACGAAATTTTAAATAATTGCGCGAAATGAAATAGCAAACAAATTTATTGCAGTGTCGGTAAAAACCGGTCCGAAACATTTTTCTCCTACGCACAAAAAAGGAGAATGAACCGCTAATTCGAGGAGACCTGTGTAAATCGTGAACATGTTCATTTACACACAGCTAAGTGTTAGTCCTTTCTTTAAAACTGATAAAAATATGGCTTACACGAACATGAGATTTTAAATAAAATTGTAGAATTTATAGGAATAAATAAGTTTTAAAATCTTTTTTTTCAGTGTTTTTTTTATTGAAAAATAAGTATAACTTTCATGGTTTTTGAGAAAAAAATTACGTTTTAACTATGCATATGTTGTATATAGCGTAAATGCACCGTATAAAATATTAAGAAGGAAAATACAACGTTGAATTTTTGCACAATAAAATTAGTGTTACTAAAAAGTGGGCACAGCCATATAAAAACTCTACACGTTTCGGTGGCCCTCCATCCTACTCATTAGGCTATATTTATTTATTTAATTCGTTCTTTATTCGTTCGCACAAAATAGCATCTACCTCCGATCAAGATGGTTTAATCCTGAATCTTAACCCCATTTTTGCAAGTACGAGTAAAAACCTAAAACCAGATGGCTATAAAATATTTGATATTCTGAATAGCAAGTGTTTCTCTTTGAGTTAAATATTATGTCTCAGTTCCCAGTTACAAACAACATCAATTATCGTGTTGTGTAAGTTTGAAATACATACATGATCTAATTATGAGCAGAGAAATAGATAGAGGCAGCTTTGGAAATATCCAAATTTGTACTGCTTTCTCAGAGTAATTTAAAACAACAGGAACAAATATGATATTTTGCTTAACTATCAAATTTCAAAGTTTTACTTGACATTCGTACATAATTCACTGTGAAAAATAAACAGAACCAGCTATTAAGCTATTTAAGTTTATTTTTTTCTTGTTACTGGGTTAATCACAAGTAGTTATATATAAATGGCAAAATCAGAATTGAGAATATGGTTATCTAAACAGTTCCATTCAGGGTTGTTCACAAGTCTAAAGTGGAGTTCACTTTGTCTGTCTGTTTTCGCCAAGCTAAACACAATTTTAGAAAGCATGTTCGTCTTGTATGTCTAGGAAGATATAAGTTTTGAATAGACTTGAAACTCAGTTACTAGTAATTGGTATCACAAGTGAGTCCTGTTTTGCTCCTCGCGTTTCCGTGGTATAGAACTGAACAGTAAATCTGAATTCCCTACTTCGGCAGCTCGGTGTCTATAGACACACTGGTAACGTGAGAAGACTTCGCTTCCTGCTCACTATTCACTTTCATAGTGATGCAAGTCTCGAGCCACGTGCTCAGATAAACACTCTCAGAGTGTAGTTTCTAGTTTAAGCAAGGTTTTATCATTACTAAATAATTTCTTAAAATTATAAGTTTGGAATAAACAATAATTCGTGTAACTACAGTTTTAATATTTCCTATTAAATTTTAAATAGCTTTTACCATATAAAATGAGATGAATTTACTATTCTAATGAATTTTTCAAACTGTATGACATGTGTCAGTATTTCTGTCGATGAAACACGCTAGCTTTTATGTGATAATTACGTGTGTTTTTTTTTCTTTTCAATATACAGATTACATCAATATACACGTGCCCTTCTCTGTATGAGTAGCCGATGAATTATACTTTTAATAAGTTTAGATTCCTCTGTAAAAAGGGGCCTCCCAGTGGCACAGCGGTATAGCTGTGGACGACGCTAGAATCCGGGTTTCGATACTCGTGGTGGGCAGAGCACAGATAGCCCATTGTGTAGCTTTGTGCTTAATTACAAAGAAACAAAAAAACTGTAAAAAGGGATGCCTCTCAAAAATGTTTTAGCTCAAAGATTTTATAACTGATTGATACTCAGTTTTTCTTTTATAAAAATTATAAATGATTTATTACATGAAATGTTTTCAAAACTTTTCGTTTTTTTCTGTTATTTGTATTTCTTCAGGTTCTTCCAATTTTTATTACGCCCGTACTAAAGGATCCTTCTCTTCATGTGCTATGTGTGAGACCGAGGTATCTCCAGGTGTGGGAGGAACCCAAAACTGTATCAGATATTACTCGGATAGATTTGTATACATTAAAAGTCATTCGGGCGGTTTGAAAGACTCTTTCAAGCACAGGCAGTCTCCAGTTAGTGACTTGAACTATGGTGGCTATACAGACCCAAATTACGATGTTAAAATATTAAATAAACAACATAATCAGGAAACTTGCTCAGCTGTTAATTGTTCAACGGACAGAAACTATTTGGAAAAAACAACCACAGGATGGCGACTTTCACAGGCTAAAGGAGTTAACAACACTGGTTTCAGGTCTTCAGATGAACAAAACAATGTTCGAATAAAAACGTGGTAAGTTTCATTTTATTACAACTACTGTAGTAACTAAGCCATAAAATCCTCACAAAAAGTCGCAAGATAGTCCTGAATTATTTTTATTGATCACTGGGTTCAGCTTCTATTCACTATGTGTGAGTATTGAGAAATTAACAAGTTCACAGTGAGCGAGTTCTTGGCTGGATCAGTTGGCTATGAATTTCAATCAAACGGAGCTTGGTCTGATTTGTGAAAGAAACAAAAGTTTAGTAAAAGCGAACAAAATTTTATCATCCTAAAACACAGAAAATTGAAATTTTAGTGAAGTGGTGTCTTTTCTGTGATTGGTTGTGTAAGAAAACCTAACACTTTCAGTAAAAGTGTTTCTAATTCAACCTCTTCATCGATAAGAACTTCCTTAAAAAATATCCTAATCCAACCATGTGATGAAGAACAGAAATTAAGGTTTCAGTAAAAAGGTTTCTGGTTATTTAATACAAAGGGAAAGAGGAAACTACAACTTTCAATAAAAGCATGACAAATCTAATTAATAGAGGGAATGGAAAAGTAGCATTTTCTGATAAAAGGTGATAGGTCTGTTCTTCTTTGGGGACATTGAATTAGAATGTTAATAGATCTGTGGCAATCTGATCACTTTAAGGAGCAGAAACTAACAGATGTTTACAAAGAAATATCATCTGTTAGAAGTATCGTTTACAGAATACTTTCTTAACTTTCCTATAAATATATTCTATTAGCAAACTACTAGAGATATGATATACATAATATATGATATTATGAGCTCTCAAGCTCCTGAAAATACTAAAAATAGGTGGCTACTTGAAAAGATAATTTTTATTAATATTTTTGTAATTATTATGAATACTGGATTCAACGTATCCTGAAATGAAGTTTGTTTTCTTTGCTACTAAAAACATTTTTCAACTCACATGTATTGTGCAAAAGCTTTTGTTAAAGAATGGCATTTTAATTGATTTTCATTCCGTTCTATTATTTTCTTTTGTTTATTTCTAGTAAACAACATCGATAAAGTAGAAATTTCTCTCTTTTCTCACTTACCCACCTACTTCTCTAATTTAATTACACTCTATATTAATGGACATAATACAAATCTTTGTTCAACACATCGACGGCCATAGATTATTTATCGTATACCTGTAAAAATAATGACGTGGAAATCTTTCCTTCTTCGATTCCCCCAACCTACCAGTTTGGTTTGTTTACAGTACAATAAATAACAGAATAAACCCGCTCTTGCTTCGATCTACCCATTCATCATTTCAGAATACCTAAAGTGTAAAGAAAGTGTAAATTTGAATATGCATCTATTAATGGCTCAACCAATCATCGTTAACATTATACATAACTAATTTTGCTATTCCCTCCCCCTTTTTTTATCAGGGAATCTTATGGTGAACTATGTGCAAATCCCGTTAGATCAAGTACTAGGGTGCCATCTAGTAGCTGCCAGGAACGTGATTTTAATTTAATCTCGGATCCAGTAAGGTAAGTCAGATGAGAAAGGATACATTAATATAAACGTTTTTTACTGAAGATTTTGTATGAAATAAGTATTTGTTGCTAACGATTTACGCCTTTTTTCATAATTAAAAAGTGAACATTTGCAATCATTTGTTATATCGTTTTAATCTTATGTACTAAGAAAAGCTCAGATATCACTCGTAAAATGTTCAAATATACTACCTTTATTCTTTTGCAAATGTCTTTTGATATTCATTAGGCAAAAACACCAGGTACATTTTTTTTCATTTTCGCAATAGATCTAATGTGAGGAAGGATTTAGTTACTCTACGATTCAAGTATGAACAGTTTCCAACCCATAAATAGGTAAAATAACCGAAGCAGTATGAAATTGACAATTCAATTTCCGTCTAGTAAAAAGTGAAACACGTAAAGTCATCTAAAACAAAACAAAACAAAAACTTAAGAAGTCTAACCTTTCTTTCTATGTGTTTTTAGATAATTACACATCTATAAAAATCGTTATTTACTATCGTTGTTATATTTTTCATTGTTAATTTAAAGTTCTGATCTCCATCTTGAATGTTATACTCTTGTACAAGCCTATCGAAAAACCTGTTACATTAAATGATTTGTTAAAATGTTAATACAGTCTTGGCCCAAATGTTTGCATACTGTTCTATATTGACGTTATTGTCTACATGCATGGAGTAGTTATTGAGTAAGTGTCTGAGTGGTAACACAGAAGGTAGCGTTTGATCGTACAAATATGTACGAGTTGTTATTCTGGCCTGTATAAGTTGTTTTGAGCATTTGTTCGTCAAAACACACATACACACCTGTTTTGTGTAAAAAGGTGTGCTTTTGGAATAAACTTTTTCGAAACAAATCAACGCTTTGTTCAGACATTTTCTCTGTACTTGATGTAGAGTCATGCCTCGTCACGTGCCAGAAGTAATAAGGTATCAAATTGTTCGACAGTTCAGAAGTGATATGTAGCAAACGGACATTGCTAAAACAGTAAGGTACTACTAGCGTACTGTATCCAGAATCCTGAAACGTCATCGGACTATAGGAACCGTTCTTCCAGGAAAGTATAACGCTAGACGCTGAAAAACTACTTCCCGAGATGGCCATGTTTTGATCAGGTTAACCCGTTAAGGTCGTAGGAAATTTTGAAACACCTTATGACAAGAATAGCATGAAAACATTCACTACAGGGTATCTAGAAGAACAGTGAATAGGAGACTAACTAAATGAAGTCATTTTGCAAGAAGGTTTTTCTGTAGACCGTTATTAACCAGATTTCACCGCCGTCACCGTGTTACTTGGGCAAAACAGCATGCCAACTTACAGTTAGGACACTGACGACATGTCGTCTTTTCAGATTAGTCCTGTTTCCAGCTTGTTAAAGCTGGCGGTAGAATTCGTGATCGTCGTTTGCCTGGAGAACAGGTGAGGGAAGATTGTCTTCCTCACAGGGAACACATAGAAGGTGGTGCATTACATGTTTGGGCAGCTATTCATCATGGTGGATAAATTGTTCTTTATATCTATCAGGGAAACGTCAATGGCGCTTTCTACAGGCATCACATGGAGACGATATTTATGCCATATGCTAGGGAAAGGTTTGGCAATAACGTTTTGTTCCAGGATGACAATGCCACTGCCAATAGTGCACGTATTGTACAGGATTATCTGAACTAGGAGGACGTTACAAGATTGCCAAGACCAGCAAAGTTTTTAGTTTGTAATCCCATTAAGAACTTTAGGCAGAACTGAGCCGGAAAATTGCTAAACACGGCCCTAAACTAGGTATTGTAGCTGAGTTGCAGCGCCTCCTAGTGACAAGTTGGAAAAATCACGGTGGATTACATCAATAACCTCATCAACAGCATGCCACGTCGCCTTGCGGAGGTTATTAGAATATGAAGAGGACCAACCAAGTACTAAATGTTTAATATGAACTGATATAAGGTTACAGATGCTACTTATAATAATTTGATGTTATATTTTGTCATTATATACGTTTTGGTAAGGTTTTATTGCGATAGGTGAAATGCTGAATTACACATCTTTCTACAGGTGTCTGATAAAATTGTTTGCTGTTCGAATAAATCGTTCATGACGTCCATAGAATCTGTATCATTATACAAATTACATAGGTACATGTTCTATATAACATGTATTTCTCAGTTTGACAGCACTAAGTGTATTTGTATTCCATCTTAATAATAATGATTTTATTTGTGACAAACTATGCAAACATTTTGACCAAAACTGTACAATAAACTCTTACCTACTTTTTAACCTCGTCATCATATGCATACAAGTAAAATGTGTTACATTTTTTTATTTTACTATTTTTGTAGAAAGCTCTAGTAGATCTGATATTGCGTCTTCATGCTTGTAATGGCTTCTTTTTTCTTGATTTTATCTTACTATGATGGGCCCAGTGGAAATAATTTGTGCCTAAAGCGGTTCTTTAATCACTAAACTCGGTAATGATTAGCTGAGAAAAAATGGCTGCCGCATTCAATCTATTACCTTACGATGCTTACAGATAACTGCTAAAGTTGAGTTATAACATTATTTGAGTACCTAATTGTTATTATTGAGTGTTTCATAGCTTGTGAGACTCCCAGTATCATTGAAAAGTGGAGAACTGGGAACTAGCTAAAAAGCCAAAGTGTTCATCTTTCTTTTATCTTTTTACACGTTAGGCAAAAAATGTGTGAAGTTTTCGCAATGGTTTTGGTATGACGGAAAACCATTTTAAGATTACTTGGGAATAAGCTATCATTAAGCACGCTAATATAAGCTTAAAATAATAAATCATAATTCTAGTGTAAACAATGCCATCATTACCCCTTGAAGTTAGCTTTTTTACAGAGAGCTGGTGTTCCTTTAAAAACTCAAGTACAGGATGAAATAGGAATTACCAGCTAATAATAGATGAACATTAGGTGACCGTAACATGTAGAATAGAATACTCAATGCTTTGTACACTATACAATCGGTGTCTTTAGGAAGCCAACCCCTATATTATATATGAAGTGAAGGAGTAAACAAAATCAATACACATGATAAGAAATTTTATTACACACATTCATAGAATCCACTGACTTTCAGTCAGGGTAAAAAACGTCACAAAACAAGTAATAAAAACATTTATACCTATAAAATGATGTAGCGATGGCAGTGCTAAAAAAATGCAAACATGAATATAATGATGAAACAGATATACATTTTTTCATCTGTTCTTCCCTTACTGTAGATTCCTCAATATTAAGTCCCAAGAAGTCAATATTATGGCCGGTGATGGTTAATAATCGATTGTATGGTATATTATCAATGTCATTCTACAAGTGCAATGAAGAAACTGACAGAACCGATATGATATTAACAATATATATTACCATTGAATTATATAAATATAACAAATGTTCACTTATCTGAAATTTCTCTGAAAAAAAAGAGCATAATATTAAACTGGTTTAAACAGAATTTTGCAAAACATTATTATTATATTATAATTAAAACCTCCTGGTCAATATCTTATTTTTAAAATGTCTCATTTTCTTATTACTGTACTAGTAAAAATATCAAACAACAATATTAGATCTTTCTTTGAAACATTATTTTATCAAGACAAATATTCGTTAGCTTTATTTAAAATTCTATATAAAATGAAATAAAAACACAATTCAAAAGGCTATGTCTCCATCGTTTCTTGAAAAGGCACGAGCTTTTGGGGTTTTTGTTCCTTGATTGCTCAGCAACAAGGTCTAGAGATTTGAAAGCTAAAATTCGGAGTTCGATTCCGGAATCACGCAGATAGCTCATTGTGCAGCTGTGAACTAAAATAACAACAACGACATATTCTTTGGGTTAGACATAGTTAAGTAGTTGTGTTTCGCGTCGTGTTGCTGCACAAAAATACGTGCTTCGCACTGGCTACTCTATAAGAGTGACTGACGGTCAAGAACCATTATTCGGTCAGAAAATAGTAGCTCCGAATTTGGTGTAGGTGCTGTTAACTAGCTCTCTTCCCTCCTGACTATCAATTTAAAACCAGGATGGCTATGTGCAGATAGTCCTTGCGTATTGGGCTAAAATATGAAACAAAATATTTTCTTATTTTTTACTGTAACTGATTTTTGTTGATCTATGGCACCCTCTTCTTGATAAATCATGTTATAATACTTGCATAGATGAAAAAGATTTGATTCATAACGTTATATGATAAGTAATAGAAATAATTTTTACATCACAGTTTTAACATACCTGTAAAAGCAGTTGTTTAGTTAAAGTCATAACACAATATTAGGATTTGTTTGTTTGAAGTTAAGCACTAAGCTACACAATGGGCTATTTGTGCTCTGCCCACCACGGGTATCGAAACCCAGTTTCAACCATTGCAATTCTGGAGACATATCGCTGCGCCACCGGGGGGCAACATTGGGGACATTGGATTAATATTTATCTTTAATATTTTTCATTTCGTTATAAACAGTAAATGTTGTGTTTTTTGCTCAATTTTGTTGAAATTAATTTTATTCTAACTGCTTTAATATCATTATAATTGTAGTAAAGTTGATGATTTTCTCAAATGCTGTCATGTCGCTATGAGTTTAGTTGGGCTAAGTTGAATTCTAAAGATTCATGCATTAATATAATTTCCACCAGTGGAACAGTGGTTGGTTTGTTTTTTGCTATTAAGCCCAAAGCTACATAAAGGGCTATCTGTGCTTTGCCCACCATGGGTATCTAAACCCGGTTTCTAGCGTTGTACGTCCGAATACGTACCGCTGTGCCACTGGGGGCAGACCAGTGGTAAGTTTACGGACTTTGCAGTGCTAAAATCCGAGGTTCAATTCCCTATGGTGAACAGGGCACAGTTTGCCTGTTGTGTAGTTTTGAATTAAAATAAAACTTTTTTAACATAATTATAAACCTTGTGTATTTCTTAGATACCATAGCCTAATTGGATTAAACTTGTCTTCAGATATTTTAATATAAAT